CCCCCCCCCCTACCCCAACACACAAACGCACACATCCAGATCTTTATGTTGATTTTTGTCTGCCTGCTGGGAAAATTTGCATGTATTTAAGTCGTACGAGCTTACAGACCTTTTTCATTGCATTTCACTCAACGCTATAGGTAAGGTTTCTTATGAGACAGCACTTCTTTTCCAATGTGGAACCGCTTGTCTCTATATATATTGCACGTAAAATACACCATAATAAGTAGCCTCTTCTGGAAGCATTTTCAATGTTGATCCAAAAAAAAAAAGTCCACCCATAAACATGTGCTCCTTCGAGCTACAGGGGGTTTCTTTCCCTTCGTTATCTTTTCAATCAGGAAGCAAAAGTGCAAACACAAGACAAGGTAAAAATCGTTTAAGCTTATCAAAATGAAGTATTTGGGATATTTTCCCAAGTTTATGTACATTTCACATCCCACTCAGAGTTCAGATCAATATACTAAAATAAACAAGACAAGTGTAGAGAGCGCAACTTTAATCTAAACTTAACTCGATGTCGGTTGAACGTGGACTACTCAACATGAAAAAACGTAAGTACTATAAACTGCAAAGCTCTGAACGAAGGTCCAGTGTGATTGAACGTTGGATCTCACAGGAGATCTAATCAGCCAAACTTGAAAAGTAAAACGATAATAAGCTAGTCAATGACTACTGCAAGGTTGACACAAGTTCATATATTTAAAACAATATTTCAAGGTTTAGATAGCACTACATTATAAAAATGAAATTACAATATTATATAATGGTGCAGATGTTTCTCCTGGTTTCGTTCATTGAAAAGTGTTCGTTTCGCTCATATAAGTTCATTAAGGTCGTCGAATAAGACACGTTCTCATCAAAGCTTACCACATTAACACGAGACAGGTCACTTTCCAGCAAACAAATGCTCATCTCCTGGTCATTTTTAATGCCTGGACGAGTCAAATGCTCATGAAATTCAGCCTTCAAGTTGGCCATAGTACTAATGCGAACATTCGAAGTCAACTCCACTTCAATTTAGCGAAACACCTAGCATTAATGGTCGTGTAAAAGTTACAAAATCATCAATTCGAGCTTCCACGATGCACGCTTTGAGTAGTAACCGCGCAAAAACGATAGCGAGGCTCGCGCTGACTGCACGGTCACTATTCCAATATGGCGTCGGGCTCGGGCGCTCTCGTTCGGGCCGACTAATTACGAACGGTGTCTACACCTGAGCGAGTGAGTGAGTGAGTGAGTGACACATTTGCATATCGGAGGCCCCGCAACAAACACGTTTCTACGCTTCGCGTATCCACGAGTTTAAAAACCGCGGAAAATACGCGCGACAAGTCACCCAAGGGATGACAGCCTGGGAGTCAATAATCCGACTAGGGTATTAGACACCCTTTCAGGCTACCATAGGAAGAAGGGAAACGATGCAACAGCACGTGCATGATAACATAACTCCAAGTTGATAGCACAAGTTACAAGAAAACATCGGTTTGCGAACTGAAAGCAAAACGAAAAGAACACATTGCTGAATAGAACAAACCAAGAAAACAAGCGTTAAAAAATTACGAACCCCGAGGGAATAGCACTGCGCAAACCCATTTGCGAGTGAAGCACGCATAACAAGTAAACATAATTTAGTATTACAAACCAGGAATAAGTGTGCATTCAAACTTGAAGCGAGCCCAGGAAATAGCGCTGCACAAACCTGGCGTTTGTAAGGCAATACACGCAAACCAATAAACGATATCCAAATCCAATTCCNCCCCCCCCCACTACCTCGTTGCTAGCCGAGATTCCTCGGGATACCACGGGATACCTCGGTTGACAGACAACGCTCATTTTCAATCACTTATTAATCAAAACGTTCCTCGCATTAGGAAATCTCTTTGTGAAAATATTTGTCTTTATTATTCTAAGGCTGGAATTGCTTCTCCGGAAAGCAGAGAACAGTTGCTAATCGCCTTAGAACCTGAAGGAGGTGCGATATTCTGCCGGGAGAGAAAAATGAGAGACTTTGCTGATGAAACTGGAGATGCCAGTCTGTCAGATGTCCTTTGTCGTCCTGGACAAAGATACGTCATGATGGACATTGGAGGTAGAGCTTATTATAGTTGATTTCTCAAAATATCCTCCTGCGTTATAAGGAGCCCGACCCCTGTAATAGATTTGTTAGGCCCAAATTATGAAAACCCCGAAAGATTAAGTGGGATTCACGGCTTTTGTGTTTAACATTTCGAAGTCATTCTCATCAGAGTGCTGCAGTTGTGAAAATACCGCNCCCCCCAAAAAAATCAAACTTCGACTCCATTTTGTGACTCACTCAACAAAAATCACCGATTCTTTTCCTAGACGTTGGGTTTCGATAAACCGCAAATTACAAATAAGAAATTCAAAATTATGGCTAAATGCCAACCAGTTAAAAACCATATCACGTAGCCTTTACGCTAGCCTCCTCCTGTTAACAACCAATTTGTGTTTTACACGTTTGCAAAGGTGGAACACTGGATGTTACAGCTCATGAGATCCTGGACGACGGCAACATAAAAGAAATTTGTCAAGTGACCGGGGGCGCGTACGGTGGAATCTACGTGGACGAAAAGTTCCAAAAGTTACTTGAAAATCTGTTTGGGACTCCAAAAATCAATGAATACCGCATAAAGTTCCCTGCAGAGTGGCTTCGACTCATTAATGATTTTGAAATGAAGAAAAGAGGAAGGCGAGCGTTTGATGATAAAATCACAAGAATTACCCTCCCACGCAATTTTCTTCAAATGGTCTCCGGGCCCAGCGCCCCCGATCTGGCCACTCGCCTTGCAAAATCTTGCAACCTAGATGATGTGGAGATTTACAATGACGAGTACCTCTGCCTGGGGCCAAAAGCGATGAAGAGTCTCTTTGATCCTGTAATAAATGGCATCATACGCCACATGAGAGGTTTGTTGAGCAAGCCTGCGCTGAAGAATGTAAACTATGCATTCATGGTTGGCGGTTTTGCAGAATCTATCATTCTGCAAGAAGCGGTCAAAGTGGCGTTCAGTCCAAGATGTAAAGTACTTGTCCCAAACTATGCTGGCATTGCCGTTGTCCAAGGTGCAACAATGTTTGGCCAGAAACCAGCTGTTGTCACTTCTAGAGTCATGGCCACAACTTACGGTTTTAAAATAAGCGAAAACTTTGACCCTAAGATTCACGACCCTGGAAAGAAGATAGTAGCTGAAGGTATCGCTAGGTGTAAAGATGTATTTGATATTGTTGTCAAAGAAAATGATGTTGTTGAGGTTGGCGAAAAAAAGCGTTTCACCCGAAAACCATTATATAGTGATCAGAAACAGATATGTTTTCCATTTTTCACCTCCACAGACCCAAATGTTAAGTACACAACTGATTCCTCGGTGGGACCCTCCATAGGAGAGGTGACGGTCGATTCACCCGACACCTCAAAAGGAAAAAATCGCGAAGTCGAATTATGCGTCTTCTTCGGAGGCACGGAAATAAAAGCGACTGCAATCGATAAGACCAGCGGCAATGCTGCGACTGTGTACCTGGACTTTTTGACTAAATCGTGAATGGGTGTGTTACCAGCAATTGATCAAACATAACTTTTAAACCACAAAAAAAAAAAAAAAAACAGCAACAACAACAACACACCCACATACAAAAACTTTTGGACTAGCCAGAGTAGTGAAAGCTTAAGCAGGCAGACTAATGATAATTTGTGCAATTACAACTCCTTGCGCTAAATCACTTGCAGTTAAAGTCTACCAATCAGAGCTCCTTGCTGAAGGAGAACTTGAATAGGAGATTTCCTCAGGTTTGGTGTGATCTCATATTATAAAAAGTCAAAGGTCCGTCTTATTTTCAGTTTAATTGCGTACATGGTTGTAACATTTAGTTAGTTTTCGTAGGAAGAGTTTTCCATTGGCAAGTTACTGTCAGTGTGTCTAAGCTGAAGGTGCGTTCATTGTACAGAAGACTTATTGATTGAACAGAAGAGAGTTTAAATCTACATTTCGGTTCTCGTTTATTTCAAGGACTAGCATAGTAAAGTGGATCGCCACTTCTAAGTAATTGTTTGTAGTGTAGTCTACAATATTGTAACTTTTGACAGTTTACTGAAGTAAATGACGCAAGTTTTCTTGATGTCTTCGATGCATTAAATTCTTATTGATATTTCTCAGTATAAGAAAAATGTATTGACATTCGGCGGAGCTGAACTGTAAGTGACATTGACAAAGAATGTAGATATTTTTCTGTTGGTATGAAATGCACGCGTGCCACTATGGTATTAATTCAGTCTTTTGTTATAACCATATATTAGGTTTGACAACTGTACATGTAAATGTATTCATCTCAGCTCTCGAGCTTTCAAATTTTATGTCCAATTTATTCATTTAATTTTAGGGAATGGAATCTTGTAATCACCTCTAGTCCTTAGAGGCTGGTCGCCTGCATTTGGTTGGGAAATAAATTTCCATTTTCCCCAGTGAGTCTTGGGTTTTTGTATCAGGCAGTTGCACAGCTATGCAGCTTGAGTGGTAGTTGTTTCGCTGGGACTTAGTAAGTCGTAACTTATTTGAGCTATTTAACGTACTACACATACGGATGGCATTTTCACTCAGGCTCACAGTTCGGGCTGCACACCCATCTCTCTGTAGGAGTTGTGAATATAAATAGGAACTGATATTTAGCAGATATTTTTAGTAGTATGAATATAAAAGTAAACCCAATTATTCGTTCAGCTTTTTAAGGGTAGCACCCAATAAAGAGAGGTATATTTAGGTGGACATTTTGCTGCAGTAAGTAATGAACTGGTAAAGCAAATGGACTATCTATTTTTTTTGTGTGTTTTTCTTTTTGTTTTCTTTTTTTTATTTTATTATTATTTTTTTAACTGATAAAATGAAATACCTGACTGTACTGGTGCAACTTCGCTGTAAATAAAGCACATTTGTGTGTGTAGTACCCTTGTGTTTCATTGGTGTTTGTCCTCTTGACTGTTTTTCATGTCAATCACCAAGGCTTGGAAAATGTTGTGAAATGTTAATGCGACAATAGATAAACAAATAGGCGAGGACGGCTTTAGGAATCCTCTGTCTTTGCTATTGAGCGCAGCGACGACCATGTACAAAATACTAACGCATTGTGATTGACGGGGTCTCATAACAGAAAAAAGTGCTGGAAAAAAAAGCAGGCCTCCCCCTCCCCCCAATAAAATAATAATAATAATAATAATAATAAACCTCAGAAGGGAAAGAAATTAACGAAATGTAACTGCAATCACTTCGTTTTGCTTCTTTAACATTTGCATATAAGTTTAAAGTTCTGTGACATTGTTAAAAATGTCGTCGAGGATATTTTGAGTATATATGTAATATAAAAGCCGCACAAACACAAAAGATGTCTTTGTTTGAAAAGTTTGGATTTAAGTTCTAGAAATGGCTGTAGAAAACTTTCCATCTCCGCTTGTTCCATTTAATCGGATTTTTACTGATTAAAAAAAAAAAACTGAAGACCAAAACAAGGGGTCCCGAACCTATTTTGGCCGTAAAAATTGACCCGTGAAGCTCCCGAAGACGTTTTTCCTTCTTGTTACATAAACTCGTGGGACAGAACTGTTCAGCACTCAAATCGAAAGAGAGAAAACTTGATTCCAGTTTCTTGAGAGAAACGCCAGTAACTGCGGACCGGAAGCGCAGAAAAATTGCTTGTGCCAGTCCTACTTGGCATCACGCATGACTTGCACGGCCCGTCTCTTCATCTTCCAACCGCTTTCCGTCCTGTTTAAAGGGTTATCTTATGGAGCTACCTTAAGCGGGAACGTGAGTATGTCTGCAGCCCCTAAGAAGAGTGTATTGAGCATAATGTATTGAAGGACAGACTGTTTCCGAATAGTGCAAAAGGTTTCTTTTGGTTTCCTTGGAAACCCAAAAATGTATATCGCGCCATAGTAACATCTCTTCTTCTTCTTCTTCTTCTTCTT